ACAGCTTGTCAGCTTTTCATCCCTCAACTCGTGTGTCTGCTGGCGCTCTATAAATGTGCTCTCTTTAGCATCCTCAGCCGTATGCTCCGCTTCTTGCTGCAGCTTTGTCACAACACGGTGAACACCTAATTCTCGCCAAAGTGCACAGGAATGATCAAAAGCTGATGGCCACCACTACAAAGGACTGCAGGAAATAGGATGATTCTATTTCTCCTTGTTTTTTTATTCTTTCTTTTCACCTGTTAGTGCTTCATGGGAAGACTTTCTTGAGACAGTCCAGATTCATTAAGGAATCTTAGAACTGTAAAATAGTTTGGATTTGAAGGGACCGTTTAGAGGTCATCCAGTCCAACTCCTCTGCAATAAGCAGGGACATTTCAATTAGATGAGGTTGCTCAGAGCCCCGTCCAACCTGACCTTGAATCTTCTCTGACTTCTGGCAATTCAAGTGAACGTAAACCAAGCAATAAACCCTTATCCAAAAAACTTGTTGCCTCTTTCAAAGCAGATCTATGAAGCGCATCTTCCCTCCACTGAGCTTTTTTGTACCATTTGGACACCTTGCTCTAGCCGTTGCTGTGGGTTCATTGCAGTAGCCCCAGTCTGCAGTGCCATTTCTGCTGTGTCTCCTTGCTACCGTCTGTTGAAGTTGCAGCTCCAGGTTACAGACTGCACAGTCAGTTCAACACTCTTTACTTCAGTTCCTTTACACCTCTTGGGTAAATACCATCTGATCCCCCTGGTCTGCAACTGTCTCATCCGTGTTTTCCAAACCGTCTGTTGTCAGTTCTCTCCCATAACCTTCCCTGACTTACTCCTGGAGTCAAAGGCAATTTTTTTCCTCAAATTATGGTGCTCAGACCTGAAGCAGAGCCATGAGCTGAGACCTCACGAGTGCTGAGGAGAGCAGCAGTATTACCTGATGTCTTACAGATGGTGTTCCTTGTTAAACATTCATTATATATGGTTTTTTTTCACAGCAGCGCGGTACTGCTGCCTCATCCTCAGGGCATAATCCAGTATTTCTCCTCTTCTCACCCCATCCTTTCTGCTGGCTCATATTTGGTAACTGGTTTGTTGGAGGCATCTTTAACAGTGGCAGAAAGCGATGAAGTGATGGGTTTGAAGATGGTTGGCTGCTTGTTTCAAAGCATGAGAGCCACACTATTGATGTGACCAGCACTATATACACACTCTGGACTCAAAGAAGCTCCAAAAAAGGAGAAAAGTGGGTTGCAATATCTGTAACTTTTTTTTTCTTAACTGTTTTTTTAGTTTCCTTTTGGTTGGGGTTTTTTTTTTTGGATTGTTTTCTGTTTGCTTGTTTTCTTCAAAAAAGGAGGCACATTTTCAAGGTGGGTGCTTCCACATGGTGGGTTCTCAGAGTAAAACCATAGCTGGGCTTTTCAGTCCTTTGAACAGAGCACAGCCATGTAGTAGAAGCATCGTTGCCCTCGTACAAGAGAGGATGAGGGGGCCCAGGAAGGAAGGTGGCTGAGTGTGGTGGTGTCCCCTCAGGTCTCCTGCTGGGAGCAGAGAGGCTCTCAGGCCACGTGAGGGGAATGCCAGGGCTGTAGAAGAGGATTTGCAGGCAGAGGAGGAGTGAGAACCATCTGTGCTCCAATAGCCCTGGCAGGCTGGGCATGGCTTGCGGATGGATGGTGCCCTCGCGTGCAGGAGGACAGATGGCATTCCACTCCCCGGCTCCCACTGCAACCTTCAGTACTCACCTCCATCGCTTGATGTGTGCCTTTGGCTTTACGAGGCTGGATGGGGAAGGGCTGCAGAGTTGGCATGAGTGGAGCTCGGCCGTTGTGGTTAGGTGTTTTCATGCTGGAGGCATCAGGATTTGGGACCTGGAGACCAAGGTGGACAAACAGAGGTGTTTCTGCTGGGGGTCCTCTGAGCCCTCTTGCAGGGACCCCATGGAGCAGCACAGCCCCGGGCTCTTTTCAAGGCAAAATTGAGCCATCCATGGTGATAAAACCCAAACACGCTGGGGAGCAGAGCCCTACAATGGGAGGCAGGTACCCGGCTCTCTCAGTGATGTGATGCCGCCCTGCCTGTGACTTGGAGCCTTCCCAAGTGGCTGTCAGTCACCGTCGCTGGCCCTGTTCTCACTCACATACAGTATTATCTCTACCCGCTGCTGCAAATTGGCTCTGAGCAATCCTTGATCTGTCAGCATCGCCTACCCACTCTCAGATGTCACCAGCCCCCGCTGCTGCCCTGCTCGGTAACGTGTCTCTCTGAAATGTAATAATTCATTAAGTTGAGCTTAACTTTTATTTTTTTCCCTCCCCTCTCTGCCACCCCTTTCTCCTTCTAATGGACAAAAGCAATTAAGCTCCATTAGGGATCAAGCGTGTGGGAAGTGTTTCTCTCGGAGACGCTGCCGCTGCTGCACAGACCTTGTCCCTGTGTGCATGTGGCACCAACTTCTTGCAAATCAGGGCTCTGGGAGCGAGCAGCTGGGTAGGGGAAAATGTTGCTTGATAAGGGGGGGATGCTGGGAAATATGCTCCCATTCCCTTCTCTGGGAAAAGGTGATTTGAGGCTTAACTGGTCCTTCTGGCTGGATTTCATTGTGTACACATGATGATGGCTTCTCTCGCCATGCTGCAAAAGGAGACACCAGCCTCAACAGAGAAAGAGCTGGAAGAGGGCAAGCAGGAGGTGACAGAGAGGGGCCATGTTCCCAGCTGGTGTAAATCAGGGGAAGATTTCCATGTGCTCCCAGTTGCAGACTATATCTGCAGGGTCTGGCTGGCAAATGTTCTGCCAAGGTGCTGGCTGCTGGTTATGGCCTGTGGGGCAGGGCTTTGGTCCACAGAAGGACCAGTGGACCAAACCAGAGGGAGACGGGCAACTTCCCCACTAACTCTGGCTGAAAACAGCTTCTTCTCTTTTCTTGACATCCCAAATGTGCTATCAAAGGCTGGTGAGGGATGATGGCACAGCCAGAATGGTCCCGTCATTTCTCCAGCTAGGACAAGGAGGGTTTTGGTTGTGAGAGGTTCTTCCTTCTCCCCTGTTTCCTCCAGCCTTCCTTCCCTCCACTTAAGCTGCTTTTCTCTTCCTTGCCTTTTGTTCTCTCCTCCTTCCCTGCCCTAGGAAGAAAGTCTCATTTCAGTCTGAACACCAGCAGTGGAGGGGGAGAGTCATTTGATGCTTAATGCCAGAGCGGCAGGAAACTTCACCTTCCCGGGGTGGAATTAAAAACGCTTGAATTGTCTGGGGATCTTAAACAAGAGATGCAGGGAACATTCAGGGCTTTTCACACAAACATGCACACACACACACACATGTGAAAGCCCACACAGCATTAAGGGTGTAATAGCTCAACTGGGGTAATGCACTTGAACTCTCTCTGCAGCAGACAGACCAATTCTTTCAGTTCTTTTGAATGTTGGGGTTTTTTTTTGAGGCTGGAGATTGCTGCTAGTCTCCGGGGAGAGAGATCTTCGTCTTGCAGAAAGAACAATGCCGTTTGTTCTTGGCAATCGCACTTCTCTTGGAGCAGCCTGGAACTGGAGGGGGCTGAGGGCATGGGCTGGCTTCTTCCATGCAGCTGGGTCTCTGTGGCCACCAGGACTCGGGGACAGGGTGCTGCGGCCAGCAGATTGCGTCCCCGTGATGATGTTGCAAGGCAGAAAGAGAGTGCTGGGGGGATGTCTGGTAGGAAGGATGCTCCTTGCAAGCAAGTGTGGTTGTCAATAGAGGTATAACATGCGGCTCAAGATGCCCCTGGTATGTGGTGTGTGCAAGCATGAGGTATGAGACCTCCTAGAAGCAGGTCTGGCCGTGTCATCTCACGTATAATCCATGGTGTGGGTGGGAGGTTGCCTACACTGCCACCCCTGTGCTTCCTGCCAAATATTTCTGGTTTTCTGTGTGTGATGTCCTTTGCATACATGGCTTAGGGCTTTGTGCGCTCCTTCATCCAGGGCAGTTGAAAACCTCAGAAGGGCATGTAGCAATAAGCGTGTGTATCCCAGACAGCAGACCATGCTGACCAGCGTGGTCTTGTGTTTTCGCTCCTTCATCCAGGGCAGTTGAAAACCTCAGGAGGGCATGTAGCAATAAGCGTGTGTATGCCAGACAGCAGACCATGCTGGCCAGCGTGGTCTTGTGTTTTAACTGTGTGCAAGAAAGTGTATATAGGTGGATGTGGGCATCTTCGCACAGCTCTGGGCTGGCTGTAGGTGAAATTATGTGTTTTGTGTACCAAGGAGAGTGTTTATGATTGTCCCTAGGGATGCGTGTGAGCGCATGGATGCCAGTACATCTGTGCACCCCATGTGCTAGAAGCTGCACAAGCAGTGGGCATGGAGTTAGCTCCGGCTGGTGTTGCTCAGTGTTTGGCCCCAGGCAGGAGCGTGCCTTTGCCTGTGCAGAGCCCAGCCCCTCTGTACCATGCCGAGCCACTGTCCTTCTCTGGACAGGTCATCATGCCTGGACAGTTTGTGTGGGACACTGAAGTCCAGACAAGGACAGTAGGGAAAACCCTACAAGGAGAGGCTGGAAAGAAGGATTCAAAGGAGAAGATGAATATAGGGATCAGGACCTGCTCTCCTCCATCCCCTTGCTGCCTCCTCATGGTGCCTGGTTTTTATTCCCTGAGAGGAGACATAGAAGCTGAGCTGGTGCTTGAATCGGGTGGCATTGAGAGCATCCTCCCCAAACAGCAGTGGCTCCCAGCCAGGACATGCGAGGTTAAGTGACCGAGCAGGGGGTTTGCTCACACACATCTGCACCTTTCTTCCTGCAAAGCAGCCTCTCCTCCTCTCTAATGTTCACCCATCCCCTGGCTGTGCTTTGACTAGGGATGCCCATGCATCTCCCCACCATGGTCTAAGCAGCCGTCCTTCCCCTGCTCCCGGTGCTTGCCAAGCCCTTGGCTCACGGTCGCCCTTGGTCTCTGTCTCCCCTCCCAGCCCTTCCCCACACCCCACTGACCCCCAGCCGTGCTCTCACCACCCCTCTCTGCCCTTTCCCAGGGAGTTTGCCAAAGAGCGCGAGCGAGTGGAGAACCGCCGGGCCTTCATGAAGCTGCGGCGCCAGCAGCAGATTGAGCGGGAGCTCAATGGCTACCGGGCCTGGATAGACAAAGCGGGTAAAGGCTGGTGGGCCGGGAGGACTCTTGGGGCACCCCAGGGTGGTCATGCAGAGTGGTGGGCTTGGGAAGGGGTCCCTGGACATCATCCAGTGCAATACCAAAGTTGCCCAGGTGTTCACACGGTGGTATTGGGTGCCCAGGTGAGCTTGGCCCCAGGTGCTCCAGCAGCTCTCCAGCAAGGCTAAGAGCAAGGACATAGCCAAGAGCTGATGAAACTTCATGTTCCATGGCATGACACTGTCATATTTTGAACACTGAGGCATGTTACGTGTCCAGGGGAGACTGTGAGCATCAGGGCTGTGAGCGTTGCTCTGCAATTGTTTCCTTTCTCTTGATGTTTGCTGGAGTCTCCTGCAGTGGTGAGCAGGGGCAAAGTAGAGCAGTGAATGGTGACAGTGGCTTTCCAGCTAAACCTGCTCCTGGAGCAGTCTGGAGGGGATGCATTCGCTGGTTCCCAGCTCAGGCCTCCCACTTGGACTTGGACGAGGGCTGCAG